AATTGATTTTTTCAAAAACATTTCAAACCGTCCTAATTTTTTTTTTTTTAACTTGTACCTTTTAATTTTAATTTTAATTTTTAAACTCTTATTTTGCACCAAAAAAAGTCAATTCCAAACGAGCCCATTATTGCTTATTAGAATTTTGAGAATAAGGTTTGTTTATGGGGGGGTTGGCTTTGAGAATTTTTTGTAATAATGTAATGTTAGTGAAAAAAATAACAATTCATATTAAAACAAATCGAGAAAATATCGTGGCATTAATTTGATCTCACCTTTAAGAAGACACAACGAGTATACTAAGTAGGGGTTGAAAATTAAAATATTCGCATTGGTAACAAGAGGATTATAGGTAACATGCTCAGTATATCATGCGATAAAAACCACTGTGGTATTAAATGAGAAACGATCGCTATTAATAATATTTAAAATAATCAAAGTACTCATGATAAGCCCGAGAATCATGCATTGAAATTTTTTAATATTTAATACATATATATATTTTTTTTTTCCACTTTTTTTTTAATTTTAAATTTTTAAATATTATTTTCTTGCTAACAAACCCGACCTTTAGGAATCAAATATATGAAGAAGTGAAGTGGTGGTCGTTCTCCAATTTTTACGGACGGACAGAAGGGTTGGTGAGAGGATTACAGTCTGTACCTGTCCGTCCCTACCAATGAAAAAAAGTGGAGTTTTCAACACCACGCAAGTCATCATAAATGGGTAGAATTTAACACGTTTTTCGACTGCTTTGTATAATACTACTACTCTATCAATGCCACTTGTTCAATTTTTCATTTCTTGTTCATTTAAATTCTTCCCACAAATATTTACCAATTAACCCCCCACCCCAATCCCAGCCCACAACAGCAACAACAACTTGGAAAAGAAAGGAAAAAAAAAAAAAGCATTATGATATTTGTGCACCTAGTTGTAGTTGAATTTATTCACATTAGTTCAAGATTTATGTATTTCTTGTAATGGTAGATCATACAAGAGCAATTTTTTTATTTTTTACTTTTTATCATAAAAGAGTAACTTAGTACACGACTTTCCGTCACTCACTGTTAGGTCTTAGGAGGATTAGATGCATGCATGAATCAAAATTTTATTTCAATGTACAATTTCGATGAGTTTAAAAATAGAAACGTTTCAGATATATTTCGAAAATATTTCAGAAACAAGATGGATTTCAAAATATTACCGAAACATCTCGAAATATAGGAATTTTAGTATTCAATCAACGATTCATTTCAGTCTATGGATTTCAAAATATTACCGAAACATCTCTAAATATAGGAATTTTAGTATTCAATCAACGATTCATTTCAGTTTCCATAAAAATGGAAACATTTCTGACATTATGAAACAAAATTTAGTTCTTTGGACTCATGCAATCTTATTTATGCATACAAAAAGATTTTAATAGTAATATGGACAAGTTGTCAATCTAGATATCCTGATCTCGAATTTTGATAATCTCTTTGACCCAGGCTACGAGGAATTTATTTTTCATGATTACTTTAATCACGGTGTAGATGATTTGTCTTTAATCAGATTAGGAAGGAGATTAATTGAAGTGTGCATAAGCTGGTCTAAACATCCTTGACCATTAAACTAAAAAAAAGATTAATGTTAAACAATAATTATAGATGTTTGAGTAGGATGACTCTTATTTGGGTTTGTAGAAAATTATCTAAGATAAAAGAATTTGAAAAATCTATTATCAAAATGCATTCTAATCCAGTCCAGAAGCCAACTTTCATTCATGAAAATTCAATGAATCTAATAATAGTTGAATGGAATTTAAGAGAATAATCAATTTGAGAATCAACTTATGTGAATTTTATATGATTTTTCAGATATCCTCATGCTGCACCATATAACCCCTGTCCAAGTAAAGCCTGCCTACGTACAACATCTGTGCATGCTGGCTAAAACCTAGTTCCACCTTCCACGAACAACACACGACAGTTCCACTTCCACCAGTTAAAAACAGGTTGGTCAAGATTCCCCAACTGCACCAAAACTATTTTTTTTCTCCCCACCCTAGTGCCCCCCCCCCCCCCCCCCCCCAACACCACAAAGAGAACAATCCAAGAAACATCTATGTATGTATATCAGTAAAATACAATTGAAAACGGTTCTTGTAATTGGTTTTCGTATTAAAATTTGTTATGGTTATCCGATAATTTTTACCAGGAGACTACGTTATAGCCAGTCAACAAATTAAATTTGGGTTGATCCGAATTTGAATTTAAAAGGTTTATTCGAATTCGGTTTAATTACCTTATAATTTTTATTTTTATGGTTCATATCTGAATTCGTTAACAATCTGAAATTTTAATCGAAATTCAAATTACACCTAAATTTTAATTAATTTTTTTAAAATAATTACTTAATTTTTTTAATATATATATTATTTTGAATTAAATCATAATTTAATCGGATATACGTATATTCAAATTCGAATATGTACAATATAAAAGCAACTTCAACCCCATATGTTACTCCAAATTCAAAATTTTTCACTCCAAAGTGGCATATGGGATTAAAAAATAGCATCAAGGCTCTTGGAGTAACATTTTTGACAATTCTAGAGAGAGAAAGGGAGAGGTTACAAATGTGTTAATGAATACAGATCCGTTAGATGAATACAGATCCAACGATTCATATAGATTAATGAATAAAAATATGAATAATACCTCATTTTGACACCTGTCATTAGAACAGATTAATAATTTAAGGGTATCAAAACACTGTTTAAGATTACAAATAAATGATTTAGCACTTCAAAATGACAACTCCCTTTGAATTGTTCTAAATTAGTAAATTTGGTTTCGAGTTCAAGTTATTAATAAAAAAAACATTAATTTATATTTAACTAATGGGATTCCGATTCAGATTATAGTTCAATACAGTGACGAGCCTATTTTAAAAAATGGGAAATAGTAGAACCACAATGTGGCCACTAAAAAGCTGGCGGCAAAAAGTATTCCCCAAACCTTAACCACCCACCGCCGGGCACCGCCACAGGCCGCCATTACGTCAATCACTGAGTCGGCTCCGACAAATATCCCATTGGACCAACGATGGTTAAAAATACAGTTATTAAATTCTCTTCCTTATTCAACACCTAAATTAATCTTCTCAAATAACATCGTTTCAACCTGTTTTAATTTTCTGGTCGTTTGGATAAAAAAAAAACCCTGAAATATTCCACAAATTTCCATTTTCGAAAATATATTTGTGTATTTTTCAAGTTTATGCAAATCAGACCCTATGTATGCATGTGAGACTTGTAAATTAAATTGTAACAGAATGTAAAATCCACGCACTTAAAAAATTATTCATGACAAATAAGATACATTGAGATTCGGCTATTAATTTTAGCATGCATTTGCTATTAATTTATTCATCTCGACTTTTATTTTATTGACTGCAATGGCAAGTTTCCAATCAAAGTCATCTCCCAACTTTAGGGGGTGTTGTAATAAATTGACCTTTTCAAAATAAATTAATAATTTTTTTTGCTATTTTAGTGTTGTGTAATTCATAAAATTGATTTTGCTGAGTTCATGAAAAATTTACAATCGGGTCAAACATTATTGAAAAAGACGAGGAAGATAAAGTTTAAACACACAAACTTAAGATTTTGCAACGGGATTACTATTCAAATTTCTTTGTATTTTCCCCGAGGATGGGGAGATGTATTGCACGCATTTTTTTTTTTTGGGCCCCGTATTGCACGCTTTCAAATCATTCTTTTCTGTGTGACATTGTGACGTGAGCAATGAGAAGATCCCCTCTAAGATGATTCTTATTTTTGGTTTGAAATAATTTTGGGTATTGGGTGTGTGCCACGTAGCCAATATACCCATTCGTGGCCTTTTGTGATTATTATTTTTTCCTTTTAGTATATTACAAGTGGGGAGTTTTGTATTGTCGAACAGGATTAGAACAATTTACACGTCGAAATAAGAGTTTTCTTTTTTGGTTACAAATTGTTTAAGGTTATATTGATTATTCTTTTGGACTCAACGATTGATTATTAATGCTTAAGTTGAGTTATAACATGTATCTAAAAGAATAGAAATTACTAACTATTAATTATATTTCTGTTGAATTGTGACGTGACACGACAAATGTTGTGTTGCTGCTATATTTAATATTTACTTAAAATTTTGAGGTATCAAATCTATTTTAATATATTTTTTATCTATTATTAATAAGTGAGAAGGCAAGTGTGTATAGTAAATCAATTTAAATTTATGATAATTTTTTAAAAAAAAAATATTTTGTAAATAAAATGAGTTCAAGCGTTGAGGCTCTTCTCGTCTCCAAAAGCCGTTTATTGCAACTTTGGCCATAGCCATACTATGCTGATGAGGGTGGTTTATCCATGCCATGTCAGCTCTGTCGTCACACCAAGTCCTATACATTCACGGTTACGTGGCGAAATACAATCACAACATCTCCCACGCGCAGCGGAAAACAAATAAAAGATATTTAAGTTAATTTATATATTTTTTGATTAATATTTTCTTTAATCTGATTAAAAATAAGTCATTCGTGCCGTGAAAATGCATTTACTTGCTAATTACAATGAATCTTCTTTTGTTATAATCCAGGAATCTTAGATTCAATATTTCTTATATTTTTTAAAAACCAATTACTTTTATTCTTTGTAAAAATATCTTTTAAATCAACTCAAGTTACTATAACTATCATCTGAATTAGAGAAAATAATCGAAACAACTCTAAACACCGGGTAACAAAAAAAAAAGGTAAATAGATTTTCAACATGAATATCATTATTAGATACTAATACAATTTAGAAATGAATAAATTATCGTTAATTAATTATTAATACGACTCAAACATTGAATTTAGTTAAAAATTAATAAAAAATATTTAATTTTGACATAATAATAAATACATTTAACGGTAACGATGTAATATAATTGGTCCGTTGAATTTTTACTATGCGTAACTCGATGTCCTTGGGCCATGATTCACTAGAGGGCGTTAAGCCCAAACACACAGGAAAGCGCGTGGCTACGCAGCTAGCAAGATTCAATTTGATTTGTGTGCGCTGTGCGGGACTCGTGCTGTCTATAAAGTTGGACACAGGCCAAAATGGTTTTCCAACAAGGACTCAAGGACTATTCTCATTTTCTTGTCAGAGATAGACAACCAAGTGCCGCCGAATAATTTTTCCGACGATATGTCCGGCTATCCACCATTTCCGGCCGACACCGTCCCTACTTCCAGCGAATTGCCTGAAGCTGATATCCTAATTGTCACCTCCGGTGGTTTACGCATCCCGGCACAGGCTAGCATCCTGGTACTGTTCAGTATTGTTATTGTTCTTCGTCATTAGCTTCAGATTCTAATCCACAAATTCATGAAATGAAATTTTCTGAGAATTTTCACTCGAATTCTCAATTCTCGAGTCGCGAATGCTCAATTGCAAAAATTTTACCGAAACTTCGTATTCAAAGCTTCTCTTTCCTCTGCATATTCTTTTTATACAAGCTCGTTCTTTTTCATTCACGAACAACTCGCTCTTGAATGCCAATGAAATTGCTCTCCGTCACTTTTTTTTAAGCTTTTAGTTCCGAAGAATCTCACGGACACATTGTTCTTCGCTTAAAAAGCATTTACAAAAGTTTTTGTTGATTCTCGATCATTTAATTCTGCAATCTTTAGACGTCCCAAAATAACAACTTTTTATATTCAGATCGCCTGATTTCTTCTTCTTCTTCCAATATTTCTTAGATTTTGAAGGCATTTGATTCAAATGTGTAATATTTTGTAGGCCTCAGCTTCGCCTGTGCTGGAGAACATCATAAATCGGCCCCGCAAGCACCGGATCTCTGAGAAGACCATTCCGATCCTCGGCGTTCCTTGCGACGCCGTTGCCGTGTTCTTCCGATTTCTGTACTCCTCCAAGTAAGTTCCGACGAACAATCTATATCTTACTCTTTTATTAGTTTTACCAATTAATTCTGCACTCAAATGACAAACCTTACTGATCCTTACGGCACATTCAGGACCAGTCCACATCTCACCAGATGTTACCTAAACAAGATTTTTCTTTTAGTAATGATAGAGAGTTAAAAAATTGATTTATTTTGCTGATATAATATAGTAGTAGTGAGATGATCTAATAAAATTATTGTGACTCTAACTTCGACTTTTTTGTTAGAACGTTATCACTTGACACATTATTAGGTCAATTTTTTAAATTTCTATAGCATTATCTTTTTTAAACTGATCGTTAGATCCACTGAATATAATTAGGTTCATTCAATTCGAATTCCTTAGTTATAATAATCATTAGTAAAATTAATCAATAATTATACTTCAATCGTCACCACTGTCGTCCTAATCACATCACACGTGGCTCATTTACTGCCTCATGTGTATTGAATTCTATATTTGCTGTCAGTAAAGATGATAAATTCTTTTGTTAATTAGAGTTCATCTGTGTTTAGCACCGTTCAATGTCAGAGTAAAATTGCTTGTTTAATTGTTTAAGGTTGGCCTAATGAAGTTATCAGCCTATTAAATGATGTCAATTTCCCTGGTATTAGGTGCACTGTGGAAGAGATGGAGAAGTATGGGGTTCATCTACTGGCTTTATCTCATGTGTACTTGGTGCCACAACTGAAGCAGAGGTGCACCAGGGGATTGGCTGAACAGTTAGCGATTGAGAATGTGGTGGACGTGCTTCAACTCGCCAGGCTCTGCGATGCTCCTGATCTTTACCTCAAGTGCATGAAGTTGATATCTACCAATTTCAAGGCTGTTGAGCAAACTGAGGGTTGGGATTTCCTCCAAAGTCACGATCCTTTGCTTGAACTCGAGATTCTACAGTTCATTGATGAAGCCGAAACGGTACAATACCTAAACTTAACCTTAAATTTCAAATTCCTTTCAATAAAAGTAGTTCTTATTGTCAAAATAATATTGATTGTTTAAACAGCAATAAAAAAATTAAACACTTAAGTTAATTCTTTGAGAAGAATGACTGTTTTAGTGTTGAATATGCTGTTATTAATCAAATTTTTGGAATTCGATAAACAGAGAAAGAAGAAAACAAGGAGGCATAGAGAGGCACAGTGCTTATATCTACAGCTAAGTGAAGCAATGGAGTGTTTGGAGCACATATGCACAGAAGGGTGCACGACTGTTGGGCCACATGACGTGGAGCCAAGCAAGCATAAAGGTCCATGTAGCAAGTTCTCAACGTGCCAAGGTCTCCAACTCTTGATTAGACATTTTGCTACTTGTAAGAGGAGGGTTAATGGAGGATGTTCACGGTGTAAACGAATGTGGCAGCTCCTAAGACTTCACTCCTCAATCTGCGACCAGCCTGATACTTGCAGAGTTCCGCTTTGCAGGTAATTAATTGAGCTTGATGTGTCTGGATTACTCGAATTTACTTTGTGGTTTGTCAGATTGCATCTGTGAATCCCACTATGATGCATCATAGTAATCATTCATCCTCCATTTCACTTGTGGCACAACCCTATGTAAGGTGCATTATGATCAAGCTGAGATCAACTAGGAGAGTGGTGTCATTTCCATAGTTGGTAAGTGGCCTATACATCTGATAGTAACGAGTAACAAATCATGAAACCAGCCAAAACTCGTTGTCAGACGTCAAAAGATTCTTTATAAGAAATAATGGTTGGATATCTGTTCCATCAATCCACAAGTTGAGATAGGTCACATTCATCTTATTGGTGCAGAACTGTCTTAGAGTCGTATTTTGGAGCCTTTTAGACAACCCTATTCAACTATCTCCCACTGGCCTTGGCTTCACCATTGCTCAATTAGTGCAGGAGAGTACTACATGATCCATGTTGTTTATTTTTTTTTCTGCTCCAATTCTAGTTGGTGTCCATGTTTTGATATAGTTTTTGTGCCATGATACAGACAATTCAAATTGAAACCGCAACAAGGGAGAAGACGAGACGATGCCAGGTGGAAGCTACTTGTTAGAAAGGTGGTGTCAGCCAAGGCCATATCTTCCTTGTCGCTGCCAAAGCGAAAGAGAGAAGAAGAAGAAGAACCCAGAGACACCATAAATCATATTGATATTAGCAGCTGCCAATCTTAAAATTGTTGTTACCATTAGAAGAGCCATCAATTGGCAATTGTTCTTTGCTTGTAGAAAAATAGTTATCTCATTGTAAATCGAAATGCTCTTGCTTAGTATTGCCATTTTTTCCCAGGTAAGTAGAACTATGATCTTTTAAATGACTTTCGCACCCCTTTTCTTCCGGGGTTAGTAATCAATTATGTAATGGGGGGGGACCCTTAATATGATGATGGGTCAACCTAGTTTGTATACCAAGTTTTATGTGGATTGAATGGGTTGCTTGTCAAACTATTTTTCTCCGAAATGGCACGCTCAAGTTACTGCATATTGGTTGAAAAATCGAAGCCCATCTTATGTAGTGTATCAATGTAGGAGACTTTAGAATCTTCTAATCTCTCATTCTTAATTTTTAATTTTTCTTTGATGTTACTTAAAAATGGAATATTTCATGACACTTTGATCTTTAACCTTTTTATCTCATTATCCTCATTTTCTCTCTTCCTCTTTAACATCTTTATCTCACAATAAAGATAACGTTTGACTGAGTAGTGGGATAGCGTTGAAATATAAAATATTTAAATTACACCACTTACATCAGCTTCAACTTTTGAAGTAAATGGTTATTTAACATGACATTAGAGAAGGAGATTCTATGTTCAAATTTCATTGTATCACTGTCACCGTAATTATTAAAAAAGTTTAAAATCTAATATTACCAACAGATTAAACTTTTAGAATAAATAATTGTTTAATAGAGAGTCTGTTATGGTGGGATGGAGATGAACTAGGTGGGGGTAATTGTGAGGTATGGTGATTGCTAGGGGTAGAGAAAAGACGTAAATTCCATGCATTTTACGATTTCAACTAATTTTTGTTAAGTAAAAGACAATTTATATTCCTTTTGCACTTTATACAAAATTGCTAAAAAGAAAAATCACAAAACATATGGTTGTTGTTGAACCTTTGACTTTTGAAGATTGAATATTTGGCTTTATGGAGTGAATCAAGTCATCAAATTACCAAATTGGACGTTTAACTTGGACAACACCCTTCTCATTCTTTGTGTTCCACCATTTTTGGGGAAAGAAACCAATGTAGATTCCATCTAATATTATTTTTTTTAATTTTTAATGGATTATCCATCATTAATAAATGGGAGATCCAATTATATATAATAAGTTTCATTTGAATACATGAAACATGTAACACACCAAGAAAGGAATTCAAGAAAATGTTAGACTGACAAAAAAAAAATAGAGAAAAAAATAGACCAAATAATCTGATATTACCATAATAAAAAAAACTTAAATTTGAAACGTGTAAAGGTGGGACACTACTACATCATCTAACCCTTTGTTTTTAGTCCCCTTTCTTGGTAAATTTAGCATTGCTTAAAATATATTAGAGGGGATTTGACTCCAAAGAAAACGGATTTGTTGAAGCTTCTTCTGCGTGTGATCGAAGCAATCTGTTTAAAAATATACCTTATGATTAATTAATTGCACGTTGAAGTTTGATTCTTAATTGTAGTTTGAAATTGGGAAGTTCTGTTTTGATTGATGGGTTTCTTCACCTTGCAAACGTGTTACGAAATTTCTAAATCTAGAAGGTACTACTACAACCAGACCAAGAAGAACGTTGACCTTTGATTAACCAGACCAAGAAGAACGTTGACCTTTGATTAACGGCGAAGGGATAATTAAATAAACATATTAGCTACGCCCATAAGAAACGTGATAGCTAATTAATTTTCAGTAATGCTATGTTGATTAAAATTAAGGATCAAATAAAGAGTTCAAATGATATGACAATTGCTTAATTGTCATGTTAGTAAAATCTTTCTGTCTTCTCCAAATCAAGAATAGATGAGACAAAATCTTTTCATCTTTTTCGCTTCCCTAACACGCATAGACCAAAAAAATAAATAAACAAAAATTTTGTTGACATGACAGTTAATCTTATCATATCAGCAACTCTCATGTCATTTAGACTCTAATTTTAGTTCACATAGAATTACTGATTAATTTTACTATATTTCACATATGAAGTTTTTGGATTCATATTTCCCTCTAGCTCAACGATTTGTCACAATGACTTGAGATAGGTAAAAACACGTCCCTAAAGGAACAAGGGTGGCTAGCCTTCAGGGGGTGTGAGAAGAAATCGATTTTCCTTACCTTTGCCTTTTTTTTTTTTGTCAGGATTTTCCTTACCTGAATGCCCTTTTCAATCAATCACGAGATCTAAATATATTGAAATAACGTAAATTTAAAGAAAAAATCTAAAAAACATAAAGTATTGATGGTCCATTCAACTTCCTTAGACAATAAGCAATGTACATCGTTTTAAACCGAAAACACAACATGCTTAACACATGCAAGTCGGACGGGAAGTGATGTTTCCAATGATAAATGAATGAGTAACTCATAAAAACCTATTCTTGGAAGGAAAACAACAGTTGCAAACACCTACTTATACCCCGTAGGCTAAGGAGCAAAATGAGGAATTTGCCCGAGTTTGATAGTTTGAAATTGTATTAGTGTTTGGATTTGTAAAGTATGTAGGCCACTTGTTTTTGTGCATTATACTTTATGTGTAGACCTGTGTACCTGTTTATCTATACATAATCCCCACGTGTCAGGTAGTTTGAAATCATATACACATTATGGTTTTATTTTCTAATTACTTAAGTTTTTGGATAAAGGGTAACTTGTCCATTCCTACAAGTAAATGCACGAGGAATACTAATTAAAGAAGTCATTATTATTCACATCTGTGTTAATTAGTAGAGTAATGTTATTTAAACTTAAAATTTAACATAATTTATTGAGATAATGTTGTGATTTCACAACACCACTTAGTTATCAAAAAAAAAGTGTCAACGACACTCCCACCCATCAGTCCTTATTAAGTTAATAACCAAAATTTTTTACATCCTAACAATATTCTCGTTAAAATTACTTGGACCCGTTACTCTATTTTTTATACTAATTATAACTTGATCTATTCATTATTCGTGGATACGTGTTATGATGGTAAAGTAAAATGCCATTGTCCAAGGATTCGTGAATTGGATCCACTGTTTACCTTTGCATTTGTTGGTTGGGGAATTTCACAGCAAGTCAGTACACTATAACAGTGGCATGAATTAGTTTCCATGCGTAATCATTTTCATCAGCACCAGTTTGATCAACGAAAGGCTAATGTTTCCTAAGCCATGCATTTTTGAAGGAGTACGTTTGTCCCAAAATGCTGGGCACAGAGAGTGGTGTCCCATGATTTTACTAACGAAGAAGATTCCCACACTTAAAAAGAAACATGTTCAAGTCACTGTACTCATTGCGATCTCAGAATTGGTCGTGTTGGGCCCGAGCAAAGAGAGTGGTGTCCATGATTTTACGGGGACGCCACGATGCAGATGCCCGAAAGAGTGGTGATCATCTGTGAAAGAAAAAAAGAGCCCTCTCTCGACAAGGAATATTCTATAATGACCCGTCCCCTCGCAAACATGCCAAAAGTCCCGAGACTTATGTAACGTGTTAGATTAAAATTCTTAAACTCAACTCGCATTGCTCGAAGAGGACTCAACTAATTACCATATCCTAGACTAGGCCACACTCAGGATCCTAACAACTGACGCCCTAATCAGCCCATTTTTCCAGCTACGGCGACTATCAGTAGCCCTGCTCGTAAGTTGATCCGTATAAGATTCGGATTCTTTACACTCTGGTTGGTTTTGATAACAAATATTAAGAACCCTAAACGCCAAAAGCCACAGGACTTTGTAATTGTATACCTCGAGTGGGCCCTACGTAAGTTTCATACCCCAGGCAGGGCCCTACCCAGGATGCTAGCACTTGTATATTCCATATGGTTCGGTGGGGGCCGGGGCAGCATTAGGTTCCCTTTCGGTTGCAAGTTGCATGCTTTGTCAAAATGTCTCAGTGGGCATGCACTATCTTCTGCTTCTATATATCTCAAGCCACTGGAAGGTACTATGTGATGATGCTGTTGAAATAGTGCCACATTATACTGCTGTTGGTGGGATCTGCAAAGCACAGTAATCAATACACAATTATTCTAAGAATAACTCAAATAATAATAAGGATAAATTAGAAATTTAAACGTCTTCAAATATTGATAATTCTATGAGATCAAGTCTGTAATGTGGTATTTTTTATATTTGTATAAGTTAGTGTTAGGAGTTTGAATTGGCCAATGGGTTAATCATATAGTATTAATAGGTTTCTTATGTAGTTATTGAGGTAACGGGGTCAATGAATTTAATAGTTATTTTTAAGTGTTATCTATTTGTATTTAAAGACGTTATATGAATAAAAAAAATATTTAATATTTGTGGTAAATTTTCTTGTGAAATGTTTGGAAGGTCAACTTCTCCTCGAAGTGAACCAAGGGAGGTTTCCACTCCCCCGAAGTGGGTTTCTTTTTTTCAATTCTATTTTTTGGTTTTCTTCATATTTTTCCAAAAAAAAAAAAAATACATGCATGTAACAATTGGTATCAGAATCGACGATCTTATTAATGACTACACCATTAGCAATTTTAAAATTGATGCTTGATGATCTCCAAAAATCAATGAAAATCAACACATGTTAAAAGGATTCAACAGGGTTCACAAAATTCTTCAAGAAGAAAACTTTAAAGCCAAAGAAGTCACGATAGAAGAGAAGACTGAATCGATTACTACACATAAACTATTTTGGAATCATGGTGCCGGCGGCGCATGGGCACAATAATGTTTCAGCAACTTCTAATGGTGGGACACAATCCTACTTCGTGACAGGAGCTGAATGGCATCCAATTGGGAGGTATCGAGTGTTAGCTATGCAAGAATTTGGCACCAAGCAGCTCATTGGTCAACCCACTTCCACATCTATGAAACAATCAGCATGATCCATTAAATTTGGGGGACAGTTTTAAAGGTAAAAGATTATTACGTGCGTATTTTTAATATTTTTATAAGTTAGTATTAGGAGTTTGAATTGGTCAATGGATTAATGATATAGTATTAGTAAGTTTCTTAGGTAAATATTTAGGTAGTAAGGTTAATAGATTTAATAGTTATTTATATATTTGTATTTAAAGTCGTTAGATAAATGAAAAATATATCTGATATATAACTTTTGTGAAAAGCTCGGGAAATCAGGTTTCCCTCAAAGAGAACCATCATAGGGCCAACCTTTAGGCCATTACCTAAGGCCCCTAAATTGAAAGAAAATTTTGGAGCCTCAAAATAAAATAAACAATAATAAATAATTAAAATTGTGAAATATAATTTAAATACTCAATATATTTTAATCATTGAATTAATATTGAGTGCTAACTTTAAACAAAATTCATTATTTATCTAATGTACTTGGTCCTCAAATTAAGTATAACCGTATTATTGTAAAAAATTTAGAATTCCTTTCAAAAAAATTTAGGGTCCTAAAGTTCAACTTATTTTTTTATCTGACTCGATATTTATATTATATATATTATCACTTTGCAGTGTTATTATTAAAATCAATTTTCTATCATATAATAGATACGAATAATAATTTTACATTTGTATAAATTAAATTTGAGGTCATTTTTTAATAGCTTTGTTTATAAAACACAAGATGACTATAAAATAGAGTGAGTAGAAATAGTGCACTAACTATCTTTTTTATTTAAAAATAACTCTTTCTCTCTATGATATTTAACAACTAGGGGTAACCCGTGCCTAAAAACACGATGCAACATAAGTGAGAAGTAATGGATTTAGGGAGAGAAATTCAATTTGAATAGTTTTAAGAGAGATGTTGGTAGCCATTTGATAAGTTTATTTGAGATTGTCCGATGAACTTATTAAAATCTGTTCTGTTTTATATTATAGATGTCTCATTTATTTTAGAACTACTCAACTTGTATAAATTCCTATTTTTATATACATTTAGTAAAATATTTTATATACATTTAGAAAAAAAAATATTTTACTAGTCAAACTAATTTTCAATTATGTTCCTCTTTTGTCTTAAACAAATAGTATGTATTATTGTATTTGATCTCCGTACGTATTTGATTCAATTAACACAATTTTTCTTTTTTGTAAAATTTAAATTTAAAATTTGAATTAGTAGGCAAAACAAATAATTTACAAATAAACAAATTTTAATAAGTATTTAATATTACTATTATTACTAAATAAATATTTATAGCACTCATATAACATTTTCGTTTGGGGCGCCAAACTAGGTTGGGCCGCCCTGAACGTAGGTTTCCACTCTTCGAAACAGATTTCCTTTTCTTAATTCTATTTTTCGTTTTGTTTATGTTTTTCCAAAAAGAAAGTGCACATAACAAGACCACAACGGATTTATTCTTAATGAATGTCCTAATTTCGGCTTGAACGATTTGCCTTTAAACAGAATGAGAAGGGTACGTAAGTAAGATAGCCAAACACCCTGATCATTGAAAGAAAGGAAAAAAAAAAACAAAAGATCAATCCACAATTCCACCTGTTGAGAATGTGAAATGGTACATTCATTTCATCTTTATACAGCAGGTTATGGTTTCATCAGTTTTTTTTTATAAACGAGAACTACAAAACCTAGACTTAAAAAGTGTAAGTTTTATTGTCTCTATATAACTGTGCACACACACACACACACACACACACCCCGAGAGCTATCCGATGTGGGATAGCCCCATCCCCTTAACCCACTTAGGCCCAAAGGCCTCACCCAACCCGTAGGCGATGGTTTCATCAGTTGAGTGAAAATATTTTGGGCTATTCAAGACAGACATTACAATAGTTTACTTGAGTTACAAATGGGCAGCCATATTTACTGTTAAAATGGACCAAACCATTGGCTACTTGGCTATATTTTTTTTAATCAGCTTCTAGTCTAGTCCCATTGATATATGCCGTTTTGTTTTCAAGTATTGTATATTAGTTTATTTATTATTATTATTTGGGTAACTTCGATTCCAACCACATTCATTCCTACCTCTAAGTGTATGTGAACTCTGAAGATATTCTGCTATGAACATATAAGCTAGCCGCTAATATCTGTTAGTGCCTTCACGAGTTATATAAACATAACAAGAGAACATACATAAATAATTTATGGACTAATATCTGAAAAAATAGATAGAATAATTTATGGTCAAATTCAACCTATGATCATGAATGTTTAATTATTTATGATCAGAAAAATTAGTTTTAACTCGATCATTATAAAGAGATGGAGTGAAGCAATGAGTTTCAAGACAAAAAACAAAATGTATTCCAAAAATGTGTATAAGAAATTAGAGAGCAAAGAAAAAAAATGATGACAGTGACCGAGTTTCAAGACCAAATAGTGAGTTTCAAGTAGAAAAGGAAAAACTCACTGCATTCAAGCAGTGAGTTTCAAGACCAAAAAAAAAATGTATTCAAAAAATATGTATAAAAAATTAGAGAGCAATGAAAAAAATGAAAAAAAAAAAATTGATGGTAGTGACTAAGTTTCAACTTTCAAGTGGAAAAGGAAAAACTCAATGAGTGAGTTTCAAGACTACAAAAACAAATGGGTATTTAGAAGATGTGTATAATAAAATAGAGAGCAAGGAAAAAAAGAAATTGATGCCAGTGAGTTTAAGACCAAGCAGTGAGTTTCAAGATTAAAAAAAAAATTATTCAAAGAGATGGATAACCAGAGATAATAAATAGAAATTTATTAGTCAAAGAAAAAAAGGTTGAGATCTACTCAATAGGATTGAGATCTACTTCTACTCGATAGTTGATGGCACCATTTGACCTTGAGTCTTCAAATCTACTCGATAGGACTGAGATATACTTCTACTCGATCATTGATGTCATTCTATGATCGATGATGAATCCATAGATGAAGAATAGTAGAAGAAAAATAAGAGTTTTTTCGTTTGAGAGAGAGGAGAGAGAAGCGGCGAAAGAGAAGAAAGACTGAATAGTGGAAGTCTAAGGTTAGTTGCTTTTATAATTTTGTTTTTTATTTTATTTAAAGGACAAATCCAGACCTGAGTGTATATGTATATATATATATATTTTATATTATTAGTTGATGCACACTTGTGTTGCACGTGGAATATTTTAAGTACAAATTAATATATTCTTTCTCCAAATTTTACAATGAAAGTAAACACAGACGATCTTATGATAGCAATCAACTCTTGTGAGTCCATTCACACTTATCAACTCTTTTAGATATGTACCCACTAAAAAGTCGATAACATGGTATGTACTAATTCAAATGCTTGAAATAACAATTAGAAAATGAGGGTACAAAAATATAAAATAAGTTGTGCAGGTTTCGTTTTCATGAGCATGAGCTGAATGTAGACATCTACTTATAAAAAGAGATTCACTTCACAGGCTTACAAGAGTGAACAAAGAAAGTTGGTTAGCTTTTCTCATAGGTGTTATAATGTCATGCAACCCCATTCTTGACACGAATTCCTGCATGTGAAATCAGACATAAGGCTCAAAGTTTCTATGGTATGTGTACCAAGACGCCATCGCAATACATTTCCATTATGTTATAACCATAACGATTTTCTGTGAAGATAAGGACTCCTAAACAATTGAACTACACAAGCTTACTTGGCTCCTCCTTGGCTGATTTCCCATATGGCATTGAGTTCCTGTGAATCTATGAATAATGGCCTACTGTAGTTTTTTGACTCCCCCTTGTACGTTTTCATAACAGAAGGATGAGTAAGTGGAACTTTCACATTGTCGTCATAAAGGGATGTCGGAGATATTGCAGCCATTCTAACACCATAAAATTTTATGGGAAGGGATGTAGATCGTGAACGGATATGGAGTCCAAGTTGCTCCATCAACCAAACAAATTTAGTCCCAACAATGTCTGCAATAGGGTATTCAACCCAGCAACAAAAATTTAAGTGCACATAACTTTCACTTTTGTCCTCTTAAAGGAGTTGGAAATATGGTTTGATACAAATAGTGCAGACTACCACATTTGCCAAGACCACTTTAGAAAAGGAATTAAACTACATGTATTCTCAGGCCTCATGTTTCCTCCTGCCCATTTGAGGAACAAGAGCAAGAGTGATAACTATTTTGCCAAACATAACTAAGTGACGTTGAAATCCACGGAGAATAGCTTTTGCAGCATCAGAAATGCCCCAAAAATTTAAAGGAATTAGACCAATACAATTGATGAAAAACAATGAAAATGCAATTTTGCATGTGCATGCTGTGTAAACATCAATTATAATATTACCCAAAGAAAAACTCAGACACGTTCCGTCTAAAATAAGAAAGTTGTCCCACAATGATAATGTAAGCCTTTTATTGTAAACAAGAAGAAAAGATAACAACGTAGATGTCAAAAAAAAATATCATGTCGCCAACAAGAATACTCCAAACAAAATCAACCAAAATGATTTGGGTTTTATACATACAATAATGAAACATAGTGGGCATATCGTGAACCAAATGAATTCTACTAAATATTCTACAAGAAACCGCCTTCAATCAAATGAGGATATGCATAACACTGAAATTACCATCAATATGGTAATAAATTCTAGATCAAAAATAGCAAACACAACAAATTAAATAACAAATATTTGATGAATGCCAGCACAACCAATTCACAATTTGCTCATAAAGATGTAGTTTGCCTTTTTCTCACTTGAGAAATACGTTATACTTTAAAAATTAAAGTATGTGCCTCGAAATAATAAAATAGAGACTTTACAATGTAGGCTTACAGTAAAAATATAACAGAGAAAGTGAACAAAAAAAAAATGAGAAGAACGACATCGAAAATTTCAAGGTCCACAAAAATAATATAAGAAAGAAAGAGAACAAAAAGTAGAAGAGAAGAATGAAAATTTTGCTCTTCTAATCTAGATTGGGATGTTCTATATTCCTTGGATAACATAAATATATGGACATAATTTTTAACACAAAAAATGTAAGGCTTGTGTGGGGTTGCGTTAGTGACGTAGCGCTTTACTAATAACATTGAAAAGGACAAGTCAAAACCTACACCTAACAAGTTTCTAAGTTCCGCTTTCAAGACTATCTACTTATTTGATGTGATTTTGGTTAGGGGTGTCAACTCTAACCCGTTGATACGAACCTGACACGAATAATTATAAAATTGACATGATTATTAAATACGTATAATAAATTGTTTAAACTAATATTTAATACTCATAACACACTAAATAATTTTTTTTTTGTGAGTCTCAACACGAATAATACGACATATGGGTCACAGAACACGATATGTTTCATACCCCTAATTTTGGTAAACCGATGCATAGATTGAGCCTTCGATATCCCAAATTTAGCTGAGACAGGATTGAAGGCATGTCATTGATGATTGTTTGATGATAGAAAAAAAAAATGTTAATTTTTTTTAATTTCACTAATTCATATTCTCAAAATATACGTTTGATATGCAAAAACAAAAAAAAATATGAAAAACAGATGGAAAAATACTATATGAGAGTAATTAACATAATATAGTAAAAAATTATTATTTTTTTATTTCACTCATTCATACTCACAAAATATGCGTTTGATATGAAAAAATAAAAATAAAAAAATATGAAAAACTATGCGTGGGAAAATGAAATTCAGAATCACGTGTAAGGCTAATTATCTGGTCTAAAATTAGCACATCGCCTGCCAGATGCAACCTAATTGTTGCTCTATTCGGTGCTTTTGTGATTTGGTTAGAAAAGGATAAAGTTTATGGTGATTGCTTAAAAAGGATAAATTTATCAATTGATCTAATTATTGAGTCACGGGATCACCCCATGACTTTTAATTCCATCCAAATTGTTACTGGTGATTGACAAGGAAGGTTAATATTGGAATAGAGCCATGCGTGTAAAAATACTTACACCAAAAGAACTTCTACTTCTTATTCCAAAAGAATAATACGAAGTTGAATCCTTTTTGGTAGAATTACTAAATCAATTATGACACTATGAATAATAAATAACACAATATTGGGTTGCTTGGTTTTGTTATCCAATATACCATGGAAACCATAGATGATATGAACCTTAATGAGAAAAAAAGGTAAATTGATGCAAAAGAATCAGAACCCACATCTACCTACAGTACATGGAGAACCTGATTTAAAGCAATTTGCTCTAGAGGAATTAAAATTTCTCATCAAACAAAGCAAAAAAATGAAATTTATTTGACATCTATATATATTGGGTTGCTTGGTTTAGTATATCCAACATACCGAGGAAAAAATAGACGAATAAACCTTAAAGGGAAAATAAAGTAAATGCATGCAAAAATCAGAACCCACAACTACCCAGATTAAATGGATAACCTGATTTAGAGTAATTTGCTCTAGAGGATTTAACACTTCTCATCAAACTAAGCAAAAAAGTGAAATTTATTCAACATCTATAGAAAACAGAGGTATACCTCACACAAATACTTTTCATAATTTCTAAGCTGCAGGGAATTCATATGATTTGCATTCAAGATCTCTTGCACAAATTATAATTTTATCGATGTTACCACTTGCAATCCCATGTTCATTTCTAAAAATGAAAAACCATAGTGAAATAGCATAATATAAAGTTCAAGAAGTGAGAAAATGAGTACCTGTATAACCTTTCACAAAGCAGAGAGAGAGGTGATTAAATTGGTTATGCATGTTTTTAGCTTTCTGTACAGCAATATGTAAAAAAAGGAGCAAAAGACTCATAAACAACAATGTGGACGTGATAAAACTCAAAAGACTAATTTCATCACTTACTAATCTAACACCAAGATCACTCCTTAAAGATAGCATTCATTGGATCCACTCAATTACCTCACAGAATACTCATTCACAATTGTGACTAAGACTTTCACTCTACACTTATATTTGACCCACTATATTGACAAGACACAAGGCTTATTACTTTCAAGCTCAGATACTTGCCCACTCACAAACAACACCAACAATCTAATTACAACCTAGTACTACAGATCACCAAATCAATTATAAATTATTCTCAAGCAAAATAGTATTTTTTGAAATTTACACATTCATATAGTTTAATTTATCGCATAGTCGAATTTTCAGTAAATGATCCAAGGGGGAAAAAATAGAAGTCAAGCAATAGATGTATCATCAAAACAATTTAGAAAAAATCTGTCATGTTAATGATTAAACACCTATTGCTCTCCTCGAGTAATTTGGTCCTCATGTTTAGATTATAGGATTTCTTGTCTCAAGCAATGCAATATCCATGTATAATACACTTCTCATAAAGTACATTTACAAGCATGCACATATAAAACAGAGCTACAACGTAAAACATAAGTCTGACCATAAGTACATTGACAAGCTTGTGCACACACCATTGGTATCATGCCAAGACTTTGAGGACTTATATTACCCCATGTTAACATCCAAAATTGTGCCCATATTCACACTCAACACTCATCTCAATGTCCACAATTGTAACACATTACAAAACCTTCACCCACAATATCAAAAAAAAAAAAAAAGAATCACAAAAAAAAAATCAATTGAACAAGCACTTGGCATTATAATAGCAACATTCTATTAGATACCATCACAGGCAAATTTATAATACATCCATTCTAAACTGGGTGAAGAAGCAGTGCCTTGCTAAGTCTGGAAAATTGATAATAGGATTAACAATGGCAATGAGTGCAAACTACATAGAGCTAAGTCAATATTCCAACTACCCACTAACCCTTGATCAGCTTAAATCCAAAAACCAGCAAGCTACAAGGAAGCTTGTAGCTTAGCTAAGCATATGTCTTCATTATCTCAGGTGTCAAACCCCATTATCTTGATACTATACAGGAAAGTCACAACCATAACCACTGAAATTAACTAGAAAAAGACAAAATTAACCCAATTTCTTATTGTAGGCTTATCAATATTGATGTATTATGTAAAAGAAACTACCGCATTCAACATACTTACCTTCGCGAGTACATGTCCAATCTAATGAACCAGAACAACCCAACAGATAGAACTCCTAGAAAAAAAGCAAGTACCTCAACAATGCTAAATCCAATTTATAAGCTCAAAAATAAAACAACTAAGATCATACAAAGTCTGAAAACAACACACTAAAATCATAAAAAAAATAATAATAATATAAAGCAAACCCAGATAGTAAAAAAGCTAAATATATTAGGTTGAAATCATGTAAAACCCAAATATTTGTATAGGAAAAAAGGTTTTTCAGAACTCAATATCAGTCTTTGGTGCTTATTTTGTCCTTGCAGCCCATGCAATCAACTATTATTATAGCATACCATTCTCGCATTTCTTGTGCCTTCTGCAACTGTGGATTTATCTCAACCGTCGTAATCAATGTTGTCGTCAGATGGAATTCACCTATAATTTAACAAGAATTTTTTTAAAATTTGTTTACCAAGTGAGCTGTGAATGTCGAGAAATTCATGTTCGGAGATGGAAACAACTAATCAACATAACAGGTTAAATATCACTTGAGAAGAAACCACTCCATTTTGACTACAACAAAATATTATCAAACAATAGAACCTTTCCCACTTATCAACTAACTTCAAATATGCAAAGGCCTATAGCATTTCTAGTACAAAAATAAACTTACAGAAGTATGTTGAGCCAGAGTGGTCAATTCTTGCATCGTCATTTCTGCCTCTTGTTTGTGGGTTATGGGGTTTGAGTCCAATTTGACATATAATAAAAATGTCATGAAACATTATTTCCAACAAAATCAAACGGCAACAAATTGATTATTATAAGTTATAAAGCATCTATCTCACTTGGAAAAACATTGATCCAAGTTGTGCCATTCTGGGTCTTTACCCAATAAAATATTACACTTCTAAAGGGAAGCTTCGGATCGGAGGTGAGACTCACAGACCTCATTTGTGTATAAAATCCATAGCACAAAATTCTCCACACACCTAACACATTAAAAAAATTATTTATGTTCAAGTGAAATTGTAAAATATCCTTCAAATCTCAAAACATAAGAAACCAGAAAACCACCAAAACTCTTCAAAATTGTTTTATTTTTTCCCTGTTTCCTCAACAATCCATCATAAACCCAAGAAGATGGAAACTATGTTTTTCACACACAGTAAGACTCCCAGCAACAAGAGGACCTAGGCCGATTAGATAAGTCAATCAAAAGCTTTGTTTGTATGATATCAACAATATTAGAAGAATTTAACTGACGGATGATCAAATATCTGCCATACATCTGCACACATGAAATAAGAAGCCCTCACAGTATCAAAACTACACAGCCAAGGATTTCTTAATCCTAAGGCCCATATTTCAGGCTGTAATTTCTTATCTTCAGCGCTGCCTTCATCCTCAACACCCAAACCCTTATCGCAATCAGTGTATTATGTGAACCATTGCATATGGATTTGGTGAATATGCAGGAGAGTGAGAGGAAGAAGATGAAGGGTAGGATTGTGTGCCTGGTTGTGTAAACTGTGAATATGTAGAGAGAGAGAAGGGAAATAGTTGTAATGACAAAAAAAAATGGGAGTACTTTAATGACGGGGATAAGAATGGAATAGTTGTAATTTTGGAGGATAAAAGCGAAAAAAAAAAAAAAAATCTGATATGTTGGTATTTTAAAGTAGTATAGATTATTAAATATTTTTTGGGTGGTCGATTATTTCGGGTTTAGACTTAAAGGTATCCGCAAGTTGAATCGATTTTATCAGTTAATCAATATTTTCTTCCGAAATCGATCCAAAATAAATAATGCCTGCCTGTTTTTGTTTGAAAGGGTCGGTTTCGGATCGATTTTTCAGGTGATCGAGTATTTTGCACAGTCTTAGTTGCACGTAAATAAATTTAAATAATATAATTTTTATAGAAAAAATGAATTATATGTATAATTAAATAAAATAATAAATTAGATGTGGAATAATTAATCCTTATTTTAATTATAATTAAAATTAATTATTGATTTATTTTATAAGTTTTTGAGTATTTAATCTCTTAATTATTTAAGTATTTTTTTGACCCCTTTAGATATTTGCACATCTAATTATATATTATAGAATTATTAATTTTTATTTTATTAAATAGATTGATGAAATCACTTATAATATTATTATATTATTACATACCAAAAAAATAAAAAATCACATATATTTGACTTTATAAGACTTTACTTCTTCATATAGATAATAGATAATTGTATGTAACTATACTAATAATAAATGAGTTCAAAATAATTTTTAAATGTTTATAAAAGAATCTAAAATAAGTTAAAAGTCAAATAGGCGTAAAAAAAAAAATAGGATGAAAATATATATGTGAGTATAATTGACTTTATTATAATAATTGTGGATAAAGAGAAAATAAATTTTTTTCATGAATGCTAACATTTATAAATAATATAAATGTGTGTGTGAGTTTATACCGGTGTATAATCTATGTAATAAAATAGTTAGATTGTTTGTTTTGAGCTTTTCGTGGCTCAGATCGTTTTGATCTAATAGTCTTAATTGGTCTTTTCATTTTTTGTATAACTCTAAAACTTTCAACTCTCATATAATTCTCTCTCTCTTTCTCTCTCATACTATTATCTTCTTTTTTTTGTTTCTTCAGTGTTATTTTTGTTATTATTTACTCCATAAAAAAGATGAAATTATATCTTATAAAATTATTTATTCTATAAAATTAATTCGAAGTTTTTATATATATGACATCATGTATTTTATCACTTGCTTTTTAATTTGTAAATAACACTCAATATAAATAAAAAAAATAGCACATTGATTATAAACACTAAATAATATTCAACACAAAATGAACCTTACATTATAAATCAACATATAATTTTATGTAAAATTGACATTTAATTTTTTTCAATTTATATTAAACTTTATTGAATTAATATCAAATTTCTTTTCATTGTTATCAAATTAATATTAAAATTCATTTAATCAATTTTTTGGGTACTAAATTAAAATTTATTAAATTTTTAATTTTTTTTGGTACTAAATTTAGAGAATGGCAATTGTAAAAATAATATAATTTTTTGGGATGAAATTATCAATTTTCATTAACAACATTGACAGAAGGGAGACAAAGGGGTCTCTAGGCAATGAATTCAAACTTTAGTGGATTTCAGTGTTATTTATAAAATGTTAGGAGCTATCCATGTAATATTGTCATAACTCAGGAAATGTCCATGATTTTTATCCTTTTTTTAATTAAACATTAATTTATTATTATTATATCTTGAAAACTTGAGTAGTTATTGGTTGAGAATTTTTTGATAACCAAAAAGAAAATGTGTGGGTGTTTTTCTGTGTATATTTATATGTGGGGAATTGGATATTTAGTGATTAAATTTACAAAGATATTGTGTCATTTAGGGTTGAATAGTGATAATAATGATAAATTCATAAATTTTATAAATGAGTAAGATTTAGTTGATTTTATTTATTGCTTATTGATTGTGAATTTAATTGTATTTTATTATTATTTTTTTTTTGTCTGAGGTATTTATCAAATGGGGATAGAATGAATTAAAAATATAGTGGTTGAATTTATAATTATGTTGTGTTATTGGATTGAATGGTGATAGAAGTGATAAATTCGCGAGTCTTATAAATGAGTAAGATTTTATTTATTACTTAAAAATTATACCTTTCAATGGGGTTATGTTAATATTTTTTTTTCCTAGAGACATTTGTATATATGGTGTTTGTATTGTTTTTGAGAGTTTTTATGACAGTGTCATTAATACGAAAGATATGACTGACAATATATATTGAGTTATTTTAAAAAAAGAATTGGTATGAATATTTTTAAGTCATTATTTTTACATTTGGGTAATTATTTAAGATTTCATTTGTTTGTTGTATAGTGTCTTTAGACACGAGTAATGACTAGTAAATATATATTATATATCTGTGTGAGTGTGAGTTTATACCCAACTGCCATGAGAGAGAGAGAGAGAGAGAGAGAGATGGAAATGGATGGTTCTGGACGAAGTGTATGTGGCCGGGACATGGATGGTTTTGGATATAAATTGATGGTTGTTTGAGTGGTTTTTTGCCATAAAAACCGTTAAGGGTATAATGGTCTAGTTAACTTAAAAAATATTTTTAATATTATTCATATTCGTGAGCGTGACAAAAAAAAAAATTACTTACCAAATATCGGATAAGACATGACATATTACTATATCTAAACCAATGGTGGATTAGGCACGGGTAAGAGTAAATATAAATTTGATATCTTACCTAATTCTTTTCGAGCATCCTAACACACCTAACACCCAATGTGATTTTTCTTTTTTGATTTGGTCAATGACTCTGAATCCGACCCACATCCTAACTACTTAAAATATCCCCCTGTGAAACTTGAATCCCAACCTACTCTCTCAGCCTCTAATCTGAAGACTCCAGGCAAGAGAAACAACAATGGCTTCCAGTGAAGAACACAACCCCAAATCAAGCAATCCAGCTCTGGGTCCGGATCTAGACACCCCAGACCACCCTGGTCTCGAATTCGCCCAATTCGGAGCCGGGTGCTTCTGGGGAGTGGAGCTGGAGTTCCAGCGAGTGGAAGGTGTGGTCAAGACCGAGGTTGGGTACTCTCAGGGCCACCTCCACGATCCGAATTACAAACTGGTCTGCACTGGCACCACCAAACATGCTGAGGTGGTTCGGGTCCAGTTCGACCCGAAAGTCTGCCCATACACCAATCTCCTCTCTCGCTTCTGGGGCCGCCATGACCCTTCTACCTTGAATCGCCAGGTACAAGAAGAGTTCTATTCAGTTGATTATTTTATGGGTTTCACTTAAATTCATGATTGGCGATTTTAAAATTGGGGGAATTTAAGAGAAGAGGAGATCCACATACTTTTTGTATATAATTTTAATTTTTTTTTATTTTTGGTCAAGATAAACAGTTTGATTCCAATACAACAATTTTAAATTTGATCAAATTTCGACGTTTTGTATGAAGAAAATATTATTTGGACCTAATCTGTGGATCCTAATTCAATTTAATCACTGAATTGAAAGTGGGCTCAATATGCTTTCATTAATGGGAACTAAACTGGGTGGTTACTTTAGTAGGATCCACTGGTTCAATGCTTAAAACTAGACTTAAATTGCAACGTGGTACTTGAGGGTTTCAATCGTTCCCTTTGTACAAATAATGCCAAAGGTTATGTTTACGAGGAATACTATTTGGATCTAAAAATTTAACCTAATTTGTTGACATAATGATGTAGCTTCAATAGAACCATTTGATCAATACTAAGTTTCAATGTTTGATAGGCTCTACAGTCAATCTAAAGGTTATAGTAAATTCGGTTAGCAAATTAGGTCAGTAAATTAGGTTCCAATAGCATTCCAATTTATTCTTCTTCTTCGAGCCACTTTAGTAAAGATTGAAATGGGTCTTAACCATTTTGGATCGGTCCTAACATGAAAGAGAGCAAATGTTGCATTTGTTGTTGACATTCGTATTTTTTAAAGATGGATTCAGGCATATTAAGCGTTGGGAGGGTTGAGGAGCAAACCTTTTGTACAAGTCTTTAGGAGAAGTAGTTGTGAAAGTCAAAAATAAATTTTTGGCTTCCTCTCCCACAACCACAATGATCCTTTGTTGAATTTGATCACCTTTCAAGTAGAAAGGCCATTAGATTAGGCTTAGACACTGTCCTTCTCTTGCTTTTGGGGCCGTTTGTTTTGAGTATTAGAGTGGTATAAGGAGGTAGTATTAGGAAAATAGTATGTGGGATCTATCTTATACGTTGTTTGTTTGGCATTTTATAGTCAGTTCTATTTTTCGGGTCGTAATACTGACCCGCTATGAATAGTAGCCATAATGTCTCATAGAAGGTCTTAATGAATATCACTTAGGGGGTGGTATTATATTTTTGGTATAGGTATTATAAACTAAATAAACTGAAATGCCCTCTGGTACAATTCTCATATAAAAGTCTAGCCGTAATTTTTGACTTTTTAAGGTTAAAATTGTCTTTTACATTGGTTAGCCGCAATTGTTGACTTTTTTAAGTAGGTATTACACAGATAATATTTGTGATAAACAAATAAGGAGAAAGATGGGATTATAGTTTAACACCGGGTATAATATACTATTGGATTGAAGTGGAATAGATATAAAACCTTATACCACCTAAATTTTATACTCGAAACAAACATGCCCTTGTTGAATACATTGAGGTTGACCCAAAAACCCATCAATCTACCCCATGTTGATGGCCAAATTATGCAAGTAATGATGTTAATGTCTTGGATGTGAAACAAATGGTTTGAGTAAAACAAAGAAAACTCGTGGTATCCGTTAACAGACTACCCAAAGCCTTCTTAACTAGTCAATACTTTGAACTTCCCTCCCCATGCCTGTCCTCTCAAATAAATGGATAAAATATCATGCTCTTACTGTCGATACAAGGTTTATTGAGTGGTACAAGTCCTTGTAGTCATGGTATTTAGTATAGTACGATACGCAATACATATCATACGATAGTCACGATATACTTGAAAAATGATACGTATTGTGTCTCTGTATCATTGTTGCACCCAAGGACGGAGCCAGAATTTTTGTTTATCCGGGCTAAGTTAAGCATTCATACGACTAACAAGATATAAATGTAAACTCATAAACATATATACAATAATACAAATGTAAACTCATAAACACTTACTAATGAAATTGAACTCTTCGATCCTTCCTAGAACAAAAGGCATCTATTATTAAATCTGTATCGATTGCTTCCATTATTTCTCTTTCAATGTAGACAACTAATGAATCAGTCAAATACTCATCTTCCATATTGTTACGGAAAATACTTTTGACATGTTTCATGGCTGAAAATGTTCTTTCTGAAGTTGCTGCAGAAACGAAAAAAGTTAAAATAAAACGAATCAACCAATCAATTAAATTATAGGACTCTGCCTTATTTATTTCTACTAAACCACAACATAATTCTGAAATTGTAGACATACTTTGAAACCTCTCATGACGAACCACATCAAATTAATAATGATCCAGTTGACATTTCAAATGATGCATGTCTTGTCTGTCAAAATCAGCTGCATAAAACTTCTCAGCAAGTAAACAAATGCGATCACGATTGACAGATTTAAAGTTGTCTTGAAGATCTAAAGCAAAGCTGAGCATAAGCAATTCCAGTGTCTCTTCATTGAATTTACTATGTAACTTTTCTAACTGATGATCAATTGTAGCATTAAATATGTTCATGTGATAGTGATGATCAATTGTAATGTTATCATTCTGTTGACGTGAACATCTTTCCCCTTTGTACTGAGTGCTTATATCAAGTATATCGACATCAAATTTCATGCAAACTGATTTCACATGGTCAAGGAGATAATCAAAACCTTCTGCTCGCAAGATTTGAAGCAATGATTTTGTCGATGATACTTTTGTTTGAGGTTGAGAACATTAAGGTTCAACAGTCATAGGAATTATAGGAACATCAACACTTGTTAATGTTTCTATTAGACTCAAAAGGTTCAAGAGTAGTATTTGATGTTTCTTCTCCACTTTTCTTTTTGAAGAAAGAAAAAATTATTTTTGCTTTTTTTCGTTCGTGATTTTCCATCCAAATAAAGTATAGAAGGGCTAAAAATTAGAGAAACAACTCAATAAAACAACTCAATAAAACAACAATGATTCTACTATTCTAGTTAAAAAATAATCAACAGAAAATTAGAGAAAACAACTCAAATAACGTCTGAATATATGATCAAAGAGACAAGGAATGAGTCATAGTACCTCGCATAGCTTAGGCGTAATCCTTGTTTGTGGTTCTTGGAAGAGGATTAGTCGAGTAGAACTAGAGGACGAATGAACGATATGGATGAAATCGAGGTGCTTGGCGTTGGCGTTGGCGTAATGCCCTCTCTGTTCCGATCAAAATAGGAATAGCAAATCAAGAAAAACTTTTTCTTTCCATGATTATTGAGGCTTAAGCCTTAAGGAATTTGGGAAATTGGGCTAATGATTAGTAATTTAGTAGGCTGATACTGATAGCCTTGTATAAAAGTGGTATTTTTTTTTTTTTTTACTCTAGGCTTCAGTCCACCGTAGGCTACTAATGGCTCCATCCTTGGTTACACCGTATCGTACAATACACGATACGATACAATACAATACGTACGATCATAGTTGTCAAATCGGAATTCGTATCGTGAATTAGAATCATAAATTTAAGAATCGTGAATCGTAAGATTTGATACAAAATTTGAACAAAAATAGAAAATAATATTATATATTTAAAATAGAAAAAATATTAAATATTGAACATTATTGCATTAAAAAATAATCAATTGACGTAATCACATCGTTTAAATGAAAAACGTCAGTCTTTTACTTTATTTTCATCTTTTGTTTAACTATTTTCAAATTCAACAACTTAAAAAAGAATTCATTAAAGAATCATGGTTATTCAAGAACTAAAATAGTGGCACTCAGTATAGATTAGATTACAAACATGAATAGAAAAAGAACAAATAAAAAAATTGATTGGAAAAAAATATATTGCGAACATTTTGAAATAAAAAATTAGAATCTAACAAACTATTCAAAAATTAATTGATGATGCAAGAGCGTTAGCCATGACCTTTAGCTTTAGACAACGCAAGGCAAGCTTTAGACGACGTTAGAGAGAACGATCAAAGAGGTTGGGTTTTATTAGGGCGTGAATTCTTCTGTAAACAAAATGACGTCGTTTTACTATTTAGCGGACAAAACTACATCGTTTTGCAAAAAAATGGGGTTTTAAAAAAAGTGATTGAATCGTGCGATTCATGAAATACGAATCGAATCATACGATTCAGGTGCGATTTAACTCTAAAACGATTCTCATATAAGATACGAATCATTTTGTACTTGTATCAAATCGGATCGTATGAATCGAATCATGAAGCATACGATTTTGATAACTATGCGTACGATATGTGACGATTCTGTTTTTTTTTGTTTTTTGAGGCTGAAATGACATCGTTTTACCCTAAGATTTATTTTTAAATCACTAACTAGTGAAATAACATCGTTTCAGTAGTTGTAGTTTAAAAAAATAAAATAAAGTATGTTACTAATGTTATTCAATTGAGTTCAAAATTCCTAATTAATATTAAAGTTATTCAAGCAGTTGATGTTAAAAGTTTGAATTATAAGTTTTTGTATTTTGATATTACTGAACTATGTTGGGAACTTGAATAGTTAGTGGGATATTAATGAAATGTTATATATTATTATAAGTCTATGTTTTTTTTACAAAGGTATATATATATATATATATATACCTTTGTAAAAAAACATAGACTCATAATAATATAGTATTTCATTAATATCCCACTAACTATTTAAGTTCTCAATATAATTAAGTAATATGAAAAATACATACATATATATATATATATATATATATATATATATATATATATATATATACACTTAGTAAAGACACAAGGATTATTGAATATGATTCCCTCACATATGACAATCTTGTTAGTACCATCCAAAAAGAAGGACTTAAGATGTGTATTGACATGAAGCTCAGTAAGCAACTTGCCAATGACAAGAAAAAAGCTAAATATGAAATGAGAAATTTCTGTGAACAATATGGTCTCCCTTCAGTAGCACCATTTGTTGCCAGAAAACACAAATCCCATAAATCATATAGTAAAAACAAAAGTCATTACTCCCGAAATAAAAAGACTTTTAGCAAACCTAATTTTTATGATAATTCTAGAAAATCTTATAAACATAAAACTTATAAGAAAAAATCTGGGAAACAAGCTAGCACATCTAAATCTAAAAAAGATAAAGATGTTAAATGTTTTAACTGTGGTAAAACAGGTCACATTAGTCCTAATTGTCCAGTTAAAAAACAAGTCAAAAGATTAAACTTAGCCCCACAAGAAGAAGAAGAAATTCTTAAAATCTTTAGGCTAAACAATCATAGTAAAGACAGTTCAGACTCTCATAGTAGTTCTAAAACTGAATCTGAGTACCTCTCAGCATCTGATAATCCTAGTGAACCTAACATCAAATTAGGTTGCAAGGATAGTTGTCTCTGTAAGACAATTAATGTAATAACCAAAGAAAATGAGGAAGAAAATATTCTCATTGAGTTACTCAGTAAAATAGAGGATCCTGAGTTAAAAATCAAGTATGTTAAAAAACTCAAAGATCTTTTAGTAAAAAAAGATGATAAGAATGCTTCCAGTAGTAAGCAACTTATTAGCTTTAACACAGCTATGGAAAGATTTAGTAAAGAGAAAAAGAAAGAACTCACTTTACAAGATCTTCAAGCTGAAGTTAATAAAATTAAATCTGAAATTAAAGAACTAAAAGCTCAAGACAAGAAATTTGCAGAAGCTTTTAAGTTTTTTGCACACAGATAGTTTTGGCACAACAAAGGATTTTAATCCTGAAAAACAGTCATTAGTTAATGAACAATCTGAGACAGAATCTCAGGATGAAATACAATTACAGCGGATACCTATAACCTCTACCTCTTTAGTGAAAAATTTGGGTGTAACGAAGCTGCCATCTCACGATGGGTGTTCACAAACTAATGATAGTTACAGAATTAATTTGGTTAACAAAATTAGTTTTCAAAAATGGTATTTTCAAGTACAGATCATCATTAATGATTTTAAACTTGAAACTGTTGCCCTTATTGATACAGGTGCAGATGTTAACTGTATTCAAGAAGGAATAATATCAATTAAGTATTATCAAAAAACACTTGAGAAACTTAGTTCAGCAAATGGAAATAAAATGAAAGTTAAATATAAGTTGCCAAATGTTCATATTTGTCAAGACAATATATGTTTCAAAACATCTTTT